ATCCTCACTGCACTACGGCAGTGTGTTGACACATTGTGTTGATACAGCAAGCTCAGGCAGTGTTGTGCACAGCACCTACTGCTGCGACTACGCTGCTACCTGCCCCCCTCGAATAGGGGGGCCTACGATAACCGTGTACCTAGGGCGCATTTCCTTGAAACAGTATCCCAAACATCACGAAATACATTTATTCATAATTTTTCAAGTTCCGTCCTCCCCAAAATCTCCCCACTCGGGGTTCTAGCCTCCTAGGCCCTGTGGGGAGGAGGCCTGCACCGGTGCCGGAGCTATCGCCAGCCCCCATCTCCGGGTATTTTCAGGCACGTCTAGTGTATACACGATAATTCGCCGAGAAATTGGCTTACTTCGATCCTAGTAGGAGGGTCCTGTCCTCGTACAGTGTTGTGACCTCTTGTAGGTCACCGGCCAGCAATCTTCTATAGGTCACCAGCAAGCCCTATAGTGCCTGTGCACTACAGGTAAGCTGAACGGGGGGGGTCCTTGTGAATAGCTAATTGACTCCTATTCCTAATGATCTGATTATGATGATTATGAGCCCAAACTAGCCAAAATTAAGTGCAGTAGGCTAGTATTTCGAAGTCCGAGGTGCGAAGGCCCTGAGTGAGCTGCAGAAGTTCCAGGTTACCGAGACTACACTAGTCAGACAGAAACAGGACTCCATTTGGCACGCGTGCGCAACAAGAACTGGTGGGCACCTGTGCTTTTCCTTGAACCCCCTAAAGAGCATACGTAAGGCATTGTTGCATTAGAGCTCCCACGTATGTCCGCGGTGAAGGCGGCAACTCTCCTATGCCTGTACTATGAGCATTACAAGTTGCATGCGAGAGCAAGGCCGACTGTCTGAGTTTATGGAGTTTTACAGCACGACTGACGATGTTTTTACGAGGGTTTTATTTTTGTCTATCTTTCTTGCGTTACAGCGGGTCTGTAGCATAGAACTGCGTGCCCTTCTGGTTGCACTTTCACTAATCAAAATAATGTCATGTGTGAGCACGTTTCTTTTCCCTGGGTTTTAGCGTTCTTGGTGCCGCCAATTTCTCTTCACGACCACTGCCTACAGAACTGAGGAACTGAAGCGCCTTTATTAGAGGTTGAAGTGTGTACACACATACAACCAAGCGATTTCTGCCCAACCCAAGCATCCTCCGAGGTCCCTACAGACGAATATTGACGCACAGCGTCACTTGTTCAAGCTTTTTGCTACTTGCCATGAATCATCGCTGATTTCTGTCTTTACATCCCACAACCTCGAATCACAGGCGAGAGGGGTCTGTCTTTTATCTCGTGGCCTTGGTCACAGCTTCCAAGCGTTCAGTAATTCCCTAGCCCTCCGCATAAGCTCATCAGCACGCCGGCATAACCGCACTCTTTGTGCCTTGCAGCCGCCAGCTTGCTTTCCGCTTCAGACCAACGAGAGCAAGAGTTCTCTTTCTCGTTATTCGGCGAATTTGCATGCCGAAGCTTCTTGCAATCTTGCAAATGCTGTATGTTCATTACTACTGCATAAGTGGACGTCAGAAATGCCAGAAGAAAAGTTTGGCTCCTTTCGTGCCAGTCGATAAGGATGCGTGTTACGCTGCTATCTAATAGAAACTTCTTTGTCATTGGAAGCTTATTAATGTCACAAGTGTCTTCAGCCGTGACATTCAGCTTTTTGCACTGATATTCCCTCCACCGCCACGTTCCCTGGCTGTTGGCAATACAAGCCAATTCTCTCAGAATTTTTCGCTGAACTTTTGCTGCCTGTCTTGTTCGCCACCACCGTCTCATCGGCATCTCATTTCTTAGTGAGGCCCATGTGCTCATTCCCGCCTATGATAGCAGCCTATTTCAACATATTTCGTAGTCTGTTATCTGCGCATACGTCCCAGATTTACAGCCCGGATTCTGCCGTGCAAGTTCTCAATCAAATGCATTCAACTAACATGGCTTCAGAGAAGTACGAAAGGGAGCATTTACTCGCAGCGCTATAAGTATAGCTCAGCACGAGCTTCTATCTACGAACATGCCATCTCTCAAGGTGACTTTTTATGGTATAACCCATACATAGCCGCTGAGGTTGACACAGTTAGTGCTTTGTTTCCCATTCTCACGTTCCCCGCATGAAGGTCAATCAGCAGCATTACATGCATGCTCAAAGTCGTGTTCTTTGCGCGAAGCTAGCTCGAATGTATGCGTCAGCGGGAAAAGGCATGAAATGTTGGCTACGCTATGGAGGGGAGATCATGCTTCACAACAAGCCGCTCCGAGCTATCTGGAAAACAATAAGAAGTTCAAGCTGGTCACGTCCCCAAAATCGATTGGGGACGGATTTTCAGATCCTCACCAGTTCTTGTTGCGCGCGCATGGCAGATGGAGTCCTGCTTCATTCTGATTTTAGCGTAGAGAAATGCTCTGCTTCTCTCGATTCTTTTAACACAGTATAGATAAGGAGCGTGAGGAATCCAAGACGACAGTCAAAATATTCGACACTTTGTAGCAAACCAAGATGCGCACTTCCCGCTCGCTAGAACTGTCGCTCTTCTGATGTATGTAGGAGAACTGGTAATACAATTCCGCCCATGTTCCGAGATAGCAAATACTTCTTGTTTAATAGAGTTGGGCTGAATGGGTGTCGCACGATACAAAAGGGGAAACTTTTGGATGTTTGCTGACTAAGGAAAGTTGCGGTAGCCACGAAGGCTTTTCGTCGGGGACACGCTGAGGTGTGTCGGGAAATGCACTTCGGTGTTTGTGTAACATATATTAGTGTTTACATGATACGACGAGCACCTAAATTGCCCATTCGGTTCTTTTCCTGTCTGAGCGACATATCGAACAGACTAGAGAGAGTGCAGACACTTCTTACTAATAACGAATTAAGGCGAATTATTAGAGAGATAGCATGTGAAAATCAGAAGTGCCTGTAAATACCCTAAGAATGGGGCTGGCACTAACGCAGTGCGGGGCACCGCCCCATGCGGGCCAAGGAAGCAAGAGCTATGAGGGGACAACTTTCAAGAAAGTTGGACTGAAAAACTTGGAAGATGACGGTTTGTTGATACGTTGGACCAGTTTCATGAAGTATGAGTCGAATGTAGAATATTTGTCAGAAGGGCGCCCCATTTCTTGGGCCGGGTAGCAACGTAGTAGCATCGTAGTGCACCCCGTTCTCTGCAGCGACTATGATGTTACCTGGTCCACAACTTGGGCACTCTAAAAAATCCTCTCTACTATTGATGCATCTGTCGTGTAACATCTACCAATTAGTTAGAAGGACCGTTTTGTTTCACGTTCTCAAAAGCGTATCTGCGATGCGGCAGGCAATCCGACAGAGGAGTATGATGCCGATTAGATTATGGACCAACGCGGCTCAGGCGCCCACCCCCAGTACCTGGTCAAGTGGAGCGACACCCCCGAAGATCAAGCCACGTGGGAGCCCATTAACCACCTAACAGGATGTCAGGCTTTGCACCGTGCTTGGCGCCGCCATCAGAGAAGACGTCTTCAGGCTCGAAACAATCTTGCTCCTTCCGAGGCGTAGCGGTTTGGGTCGGTCAACTGCCGCCACATGACGGTCTTCAATGACGAGGGGAGGAAGGAAGCACTGCGCACAGCATGAGCTCATGGCATCAGCTTCAGAAGGGAATAGAGACTGAAAAGGCAGAAACAATGTGTTCTGGGTAGGCCGGTTTAGTCCGGGCAGGGGGGAAGTTTTACGACCGCGGGGCTCGCGGTCCGATATGAGTACCTGTGGAAATCCGTGGTAGCAGATAACACGCTCTGCGAGAAGCTCCACGGCGTCTGCTGCAGTGAATGAGTTCTTTGCAGGAACGAAATGAGGCATCTTGCTGAGGGAGTCGACCAGCACGAGAATCGAGTCGTGCCCTGTCGTCGTAAGGGGAAGATCCGTGATAAAATCGAGGCTCACGTGTGCCCACCGACGCAAAGGGATGAGTAGCTGTTGAAGAAGGCCTGCAGGTTTCTGGCTCAGAGACTTAGACAAAAGACAGTGAGTACAGGATTCAACGTACGCAGTAGTGTAAGCACGCATCCCTGGCCAGTAGTAGTGCTTGCTCAGAGCCGTGAAGGTCTTCTTTTGGTCTCTATGGCCGGCTGTCACATGGTTATGATGTGAATGCAAGACATGCGTAAGGAACTCAGGGAACTGTGAAACACAGATCCTAACCACGGAGCGGTGTGTCCCCACAAAAGCCTCGATGTTTGGAGTCGTTGGAAATGCGTAAGAGCTTGGTGATCTGTATGAGCTGTAACTTTGGAGACACGGAGAAAATGAGACCACTTGTCCAGGGCCGTGACCAACGCCAAGAGTTCTTGATCGTAGATCGAGTATTTCTGTTGTGTGGGGTATATAACTTAGCTGAGGAAACCGATGGGCTTGTCTTCTTGTTCTAGACGCGCTCCGATCGCATAACCAGAGGCATCTGTGTATAACTCGAAGCGCTCCGTGGTGTCAGGAACTTGTAATGTACTGTGTGTATTAAGCGCTGTTTGAGCTGCTGCACCGTCTTTATGTGAAGATCTGTCCATTTGAAACTAACATCTTTGCGTGAAAGATCAACCAGAGGCCGCGCAACGTCTGCATAATTAGGTCCCATGAACATGCGACAGTAACTTATGGTACCGAGGAACTGCCGCACTTGCGTTTCATTTTCCAGCACCTCTGGCCAGTGCCGGATAGCTTCGATTTTGTCTTCTGCAGGTTTGATGCCTTCGGAAGTGATGGCATAACCCAAATATGTGATTGCTTGCCTCGCGAACTTGCATTTATGGAATTTTTGGTAGAATTGGTTTTTCAGGAAAACGCTGAGAACCTGTCGCGGGAGGGAAACGTGCCCAGAGAGCTCGGAACTATAAGTAAGTACATCATCTAGGTACGCAATAACGCGCTGTTTTTATAATAACACATGCAAGTAACAAATGAGGCGATGAGAAACACTGCTTAGCCAGCATGGATTCTGACTTAGAGGCGTTCAGTCCTAATAAAGAAATTCTGCTGTGGAGCCACCCTCTAGGGGCAGGCCTAGCCAATCACAGGCCGCTGAGTGCAATGCGCTGCTCATAGCTGCGACCGGGTGATGCCGGAGCCACCCCGAGCGGTAGCCAAGTAAGTTGGCCTGGAACGTAGCTGGAACATCCTTAAAGCCAAAGGGCATAACTCGATATTCAAATAGCCCTAGAACGGAACGGAAAACCGTCTTCGAGCGGTCTTCCTTAGCCATACGTATTTGCTGGAATCCTGCTTCAAGGACCAGAGTGGAAAAGTACTTGGCGCCTCCCAGCATCTCCAGGATGGCTTGAATGGGAGGTAATGGAAAATCAGGAGCGACTTTAAGGGCATTCAGAGCCTGGTAATTAACAACCATACGCATCTTCCGCTCCCCTGAGCCATCATCACGCTTGTCGACCATTATCGTAGGAGAGCAGATAGGCGAATATGTTGGTCCGATTCAACCACTGTCCGCTAATTTAGCTTTTTCCTGTTTGTGGAAGGAGAGCTGATCTGGGGTCATTCGGTAAATCGCAGATTTCGCTGAAAGTTTTCCAGGTACAAGTAGGATATGGTGATCATGAGGGCGCTTCAGCGGTAATCCTTTAGGTAAGTTATCGGAGAAGACCGCCCGATACTCTTTCAACACATTGATAATCTCGAATGGAATAGCTTGTGCCTCTGTCGAGTTTATCCACTCAACGAAGAGTGTGTGTCCGAGTTTTGCCGTAGGCCATGGAGACTCGGCATACCCGCCACTTGCTTAGCCAAAATGTCATACGCTTGCTCTACAGGAGTTCTTGGAGGTGCTACTATGTGACTGTCACCCTGCAATGTCTCTTCACCCGTCCTAGCGACCGGTAACTCGCACCACTGGCCGTTCACATAGGTCTGGAGCTTGTCGGACTGAAAATACCAGGCCACCTTATGTTCAGTCAGCCAATCCAAATCCAAGACTAAATCATAGGGAACGGGTCCCACTGAGAAGTCCCCGGAAAAGCGTGCGTGTCCACACCACATCGTCAACCCCCTCACAACTCCATCAATGCGTAATTGTTCACCTGCAGCAACAGTGAACCTATGCTCTTCTGGAAGTCTCCGCACCCTCAGCTGCAATCGTTTGACTGTTCTAGAATTAATGAAGCTTCTCGAAGCGCCTGTGTCTAAAAGTGCCTCGCATGAACTTCCTGTAAGCTCAACGCGAAGTACCGCTGTTGCACCCACTTAACACAAGGCTCCTCCTTGGTTGCAAGATGCCTTCGCACTACTTTCCCGCCACCAGTGCGGAATAGTCTCTATCGCTTCTGGCCTGCAGTCTTATTCTGTCGCTTCTGCAAATTTCCCGCTGCTATCCGTCTTCTCGCACGGAGCCTCTTCACTCCGCATCGGCACCGGCCCAGACTCCAACCGCGTTTCCGAAGGCGGCTAAGTCCCCTGCACGTCCTCATCCCTCATTTTGTTTTCCTCTACCGTGTTGAGGAGGCGGTTCCCCCGCTTTAGGGAGACTGGAATGGCATTAGGTCCTGTCGCTACTGCACACATCATCCCTTTGCCATGGCTACGCGGCCTAGAACGCTCGTCTCTAACAACGCCTAGGCCTCGCGGTTTAACCGTTCTGTCTTCTCAGTGCTGGGACGGATAGGTTGCCTGCTGCTCTTCTTTTCAGGCTCGGCACGGCCTCGGTCGTGTATAGGACAGTCACGAGCATAGTGTCTAACACCTCCACACTTCTTGCAGGTCTCGCCTGGCCGCTTGGTTCGTTCCTCTTTGCTCGGACAAGCTCGTGCCGGGTGTCCACGACCCTGACACTCGTAGCAGTTCCCGGAGTTTCCTCCAGGCCTAGCTTCATCCTTCTGATTCCGATGAGTTGCATTTGCCTCAGTAGCTGCTCTTATGGCTCGACTAGACCTTTCTCATAGCTCTAGCACAGTCTGCTTTGGTTCATAGAGTCGCGATGCTGCTGTCCCCGTTTGTTTTCAGGAGGACTACTTCACCAGCCCATTATTTGTAATGGGAAGATGGAGGTCAGTTGGTAGCCCAGAGCAGTAGAAGTCAGCGAGTTCGTCGGGGGCGATCCGAACTCCACTCTCCACTACAGCCGCAAACTTGTCCATATACTCTTTAGGGTTTCGATCCCACCGTACTTTACCCAACTCCGTCAGGAGTTGACTCTGCAACATTGTCTTGTCGAACCGTTCCAGAAGCCGGCGCTGTACCGTCGCCTAGTCGCTTAGGTTGATAGTTTGCCGTAGATACATCCAAGAGGTTAGAGCCGGGCCCACAAGATGGTCGATAAGTGCGTTCCTCCACTCACTGGCGTCCAATCCCATCTGGGTGTACCATCGTTCGATACGCATCAAAAAGGCCTGCACAGTACTGCCGTCTTCAGGGAGTATAGGCGACGTTATGCTCAATCCTCCAGACCCGCCTATACTATTCTTTATCGCAGCCGTGGCAGAGTGGGAATGGTCCCACGTGACGTACGGACTGTCCCCTGTCATGGCGTTAACATAGGTTATAGGTGCCAGCTGCTGGGGTGTCTCCTTATTCCCGTGCGGCCGCTTTGCCACAGTGGGTTTCGGGGTAGCATGTCGAGGTTGGGTTGGTGTTCCACTGGGCAATTTGTTTACTGACATTGTAGAACTCTCCTGTTGCATAGGTCCGACTACGCCCCGTTGCGTAGGTGCATCCCTTACTCAGCTAAGATATCTAGGTGCGCATTATGAAAGCAAAGTACTTCTACCCTCAGGTCCGGAAAAAAATAGTTTTTATTTCCCGGAACGGCCCCTAAATGTAGTACACTGTGCTCTCTACAGCGTCTACGGTGCTGCACAACCCTCTACTCTGCTGTTCAGTGAAATCTTATCTACAACCGATGCATCGGTCACGTATCGTCTACCAATTTACTAAAAAGGTCTTTTTATATCAACTTCTCAAAATTATATTTCAAAAAAGTCGATTTTTCTTGTTATTGCTTTGTTGGTCAGGTGAGGGTGTGACGCGCACCGGTGCCGGCATTGTCGGCAGCCCCAATCTTAGGGCAGTCGCAGGCATTTCTAGTTTATACATGTTAATTTGTTAGTAAATTGCATTTCTATTTCACTAGTAAGAGGTTACAAAGCTCAATCCGCATGTCAACTTTTTAAACTGCTAATAGGTCATCAGTTAGATATCCTCTATAGGTCACCAGCAAGCCCTATTGTAGTGCCTGCGCATTATATTTACTCCACGCCAGCGCTGCTCCCAAAGCGTGGCCGCAGGCGAACCATTAAACGCAGACTCAAAAAGCATTGAGAAAGCTCATCAGTCATGAAATCAAAGAAGAAAGGAAAGATACAAAGAACGTGGCGATGTTTTTTGCACCCGCTATGTCTACAAGGTTCTGGTATCTTTTCGTTAGTGCTGATGGCAGAAGCTCTTAGGGTACCTCGACAACTGATGAAAGCAAGAAGATACTGGCTTCCGTTCCATGCCTGTAATTTCTGCTGAAGTATGCACTTTCCAAATAAAAGCCTCTCTGATTAAATAAAATTGCACTTCTCTTGTGTGCATGCATTCAAGAAATGCTTCTAACCGATTCTGTCGCTTTGTCTGCGGGCTGCTGCTTTGAAACCCCAAGAGCAGCACCATCCTTTTGACGGAGCGCAGAAAAGATCCCAAAGCTCTTAGACAAAGCAAATATCATGATCTGAAACGGTTACCATAGGTACGTCGTGGTATCTTAGTCGTCGCCAGTCTAGTCCGTCACCTGCTCCTGGTGCAAATCATGTCTGGAAAAAGTGCACACATTAGGTGATACAAATTATTTGTGATTTAAATTTTCCTGGGAACCTTGTGATGGGATAATGCGACAACTGTTGCCATAATTACTTGGGAGGTCGCAGAGTCTGAAAAATTCCAGCAGACATGCAAGTAATGGTGTAGTGCCGGGCACTACAATTGACCTTCGTCGCTACACCCGAGACTTACTAACGCGAAAAGCATGAATAATATTGAATATCTTAGGGCATAAGGCACCGTAGGATAGTGGAAAATCATAACAATGGGCTCGCTAGCCCGCCCCGGGTGCGAGGCTGGGCGCGAGGTTGGTGCCGCGACGCGACTCGGGCACTGACCCTCGGCGAAGGTCAGCTCTCAGTTCTATTATTCTGGGTTTTCTCACCTCATAATAATATGAACTCAATTGTACGAGGTTAATCAAGGTATTCCATAGTTGTTGACTATAGTCAGGTACCTTTGACCGACTGTGCCGAGTGACCGCCGAGTCGGACTCGCCAAGGGACATTACGTAGTAACAGTGTAGACAGCTGTTAACTACAAATGGACCCTGATGATCCGCTCTTTAGACATAATTCTGCACAGGTTTTGCAATGGGTTTGTATGATAGTAAATAAAAAAATCGACGGGAGCACCCTAAACTTAATCAATTTCCTCCTGCGATACCGTGGGATGCTACTGGGATTGGTACATCGCATGCTGTGTGCACGGGCGATCGTAAAGCGTACCCACGTTCAGTGGTACATTAACTGTCCCTTCTATCATTTTATAATGCGATATGCACGTATTTTGCTCTCTTCAAAGATCTGCTAGAGCAGAAGATGCTGCGTCTCTGTTACCGCTGAATCAGCTCTAGAAAATGTTTATTCCTAGGCCTTTTGGTCTGCACAGCGGCCTGCCCTCCAGTTTGTCTGTGGGGGATAACTTTTAACGTCCCTTTGTAAGAATGCTAAAGCCTTTGCCTATGATCGCACTACATATCAAACAGATCAAACGTTGTCTGCCACAAGACTGTCAACAGCAGGCAGCTGATGTAGTGCGCAAGCACTACAATAGGGCTTGCTGGTGACCCATAGAGGATAGCTAACTGATGACCTATAAGCGGTTAGCAGGTTGAGACGCGGATTGAGCGCTGTAAGCTCTTAATAGTGAAATACAAATACAATTTATTAACAAATTAACATGTATAAACCAGAAATGCTGCGAATGCCCTAAGATTAGAGCAACCGACAACGCCTTCACTGGTGCGCATCACAACCTCACCGGACCAGCAAAGCAAGAACCAGGAGGAGTGATTTCTATGAATTGTGGTTCTTGAACTTGAAACGAAATGGTCTTTTTAATAACTTAGCTGACGTTACGAGACCGATGCGTCTGTAGAAGAGAAGATTTCATAGAGCGCCAGAGTTGTGGGTCATGCAGTATCGTAGACGCTGTAGGGAACGCAGTGTGCTACAGCCGAAGGGTAATAAACAGCACTATTTTCGAAAAATGAAGGTTCCTGTCAAATTTTCAGGGGTAATTTGTTGACTAAATAGATAGAGTGTTTAGGCCAGTGGCAGTTCTTGCTGAACGCGCTGTTTAGTAGATTGGCGTACTATAAAGCAGCTACACGTGTAGTTGGTGCCCGCTCGTTGTTTAGTG